CCTTGTCCAGCGAGACCTCTTGTGAACTCATGCCCTGAAATTTATAGTCACTAGATAGCTTGCTTAGACTCTCTTGCATGAGGTCCATTTGTTGTTGCTTCACGGGATCATCGATCTTGAGTGTGAGTAGCCACAGTGTTTCAGTCACGGTAACCAATTGGTTCCTAAGCTCATTGACTTCTTCTTGACTTGCCATTATCTTTTTAGCCTTCCTCTTTTGACGAATCGGTTTATCAAAAGTGAAACTTGAATAAAGAGATTATCCTTGATTAATCGCCCTTCTCTCCTCGACCAAGTTCCGTGGAAAAGGAATTTGGGGATATTCATTGTTAATTATTTGACTCAAAATTTATTCAACATGCAATGGATGGAGGAAGTGAAGAAAGATGGAATGGAATGTGAAGAAAAATGATGTAGATGGAGGGATATGAAGAATTAGGAATAGAATGTACCCCCCAACTCAAATGACGGAAAAGACCGACTCATCCATGAACCTAGGACATGGTCATGGTGACATATAAAAAGTGTGTGCTATGACTAGTGAGTGTATGTGACATGTTAAGACTTGTGTCATGACCATGTGGCTAGACTATGTGACTAGACTCAAGCAAAGACTAAGTTAAGACTTCACGTATATGCATTAAACTGGACAGACTGTGGTATTTTAGTCATAACTTTTTATCTGTGACTCTGATTTGGATGAAACCAACTCCAAATTAAAGATAAAATTCGGGGCTACAGATCCGTAGGTTGTACGACTCGTAGTTCTTCCTAGAACGCCAGCTATGACCAAAACAAGTTGACGCTTGTGCAGTATACGGGAATAAAAATCCGGGTTGACTTAAGGGAACTATAACTCGATTTTATGTTTATTTATTAGCTCTAATTAATTAATTAATTAATTAAACAAAGTCCTTTAGTCATTAATCAATTTATTTAGTCTTAACACAAGTCAAACAAACGGTTAAGAAAACATAGAATATATGCACAACAAATAATGCACAATACGTTATTATAATTAAAGAGAGAAAGAGATGGTGAATGATTAAGAATAATAATTAAAGAGGATTGATGAGAGAATTGAAAATTGATTGTAGGTGATTATAATTGAAAAGCTCGTTGTTGATGAGAATCGGTGAGAATTGGTAAATGAAAACGGAGTTTTTAATACGTTATTTATAGAGAAAATCAGCCAAAAAGATAAAATATCAGAACAGAGCACTTGGCGCACGCAATACGAGGTTGGCGCATGCAAAACAGAGCTGGCGCCAACCCTGGCTGATTGGCGCCAGGCGCCAAGCCTGATTCCGGGCGCCAATGCCTGGAGTCAGGCGCCAGGACTGTTTTTAACGCGTTTTCGAAAATCAGATAAGTTTGCCGTACTGGAGGATAAAATCGTATCTTTTCCTCGAAAATGTTATTTGATTTTAATTAAAACTCTGAAAAGTCAACAAAAGTCAATTTATCAATGCTAATTGAATTAGGAATAGAAAGAACCTTCTAGAAGAATCTAGAAGACTAAAACCATTCCTAATTGCATTAGGAATGATAAATCATATTAGTCCCTCCCCTAGATCATTGGGCCGTACATAAAGCTCGAACCGGGCCCAGTTTAGTAAATTGGCTATAACTTCCTCAATATTCATCGGAATTGGATTTATAATATATCGTTGGAAAGCTCTTGTCAAGCCCCATCCAAATACACTACTATTGGACCCATATCATGGACCAAACAAACTGGATTGTCTATTTTCTCAAAATAAGTTTTCAAAAACAGAGAGAAAAGAAAAGAAATTAAAACTATCCGCAACACTAAACTTTCCACAGTTTCGCTTCATTCGATTATGATTCGACGTGAAAGGTACTCATCACTGGGTTTGGTTTTGGGGAGACACAAATGGGTGTCTACACAAACCCATTTCCAACAGCTAACTTAATCCCCTTCTTGAGAATATCAATATTCGATCTCCACAATCCCTCGCCACGCGTTTGATGCATCTTGTTTATGAGAGAACATGTCCACATCACATCGACACTTACAATACTTGCTATGCAAAACTCTAGACCAAAGAGAGGCGGGAAGCAGGCCGGGCCCTACGTGCGGGCATCCCCCGCAACGCAAGCAGCATTGACCCAGACTTTGATCCAAAGCCAGCAAGCATCAATACTGTAGCAGCATTGTCCATTGGATGGTCGGTGCAAGGCCAGAAATTGGAACACATTGATTCCGCTCGTTCCCGTCCTTCGCTTCAGGGCCTGTCCCTCGGGTGCCCGGGTGTTGTGAGGCTACGTCCCGCGATAGGAGTCTGCGTCCTACCGAAGTACTGCGGCGGAAGCCGTTGCAGGTCCTTCTCCTTCCGCTGAAACGACCCTCTTTTGTTCGGAGTATCTTTTTGATAGGCGCTTCTATCTGTATGGGGAATTCGCTGCTGATAGATCTCGACCAGTGTCCCCCCCCCCCGCTGAAGCTCATTTGCGACACCTTAGGTAGCTCAAGAACCCGTTCAAAACGTGGGAAAAAGAAATGCCTAAAGTATGAAAAGGCGCTACCCCAATTTACAGAGAAAAGCATAGTTTACTTGTCTCATGGATTTGAAGCCAAGAACACCTTGATTTTTTTTGGTATAGTAGCTATTTCCCAATCCACCAAGTGTATCCTCTCCTTCTCATTAGAGCCGCACTAAAGAAAACTCCTAGCTTTGCTATTAATTTTATCACATACACCCCGAGGAACACACGTAGATAGCATTGCATAATAGGGGATAGAAGATAGGGAAGATTGTACCAAGGTAGCCCTCCCAGCCAAGGAAAGAGTCTTCGATTTCCAGCCTTCAAGTTTCAAGTTGACTATCTCTACCAAAAATTAATAATTCTCATTAGTAACCCGACCATTAATAGTGGGTACTCCTAAGTATTTGCCGAAATCTTCAGTTTCTTCCATGCCAAGGTCACTACACATTTCACCTCTAGACTCAAGGTTCGTATTTTTTAAGAAATAAATACGACTCTTGCTAACACTCACTTTACTCCCTGAGGCTTGACAAAATTTCTCAAGACAACCCTTCATCAAATCGGCTTGCTCCCAGTAGCTTCACAAAATAGAATTAAATTGTCGGCAAAAGTGAGATTCAAAATTGGAGGACCGTTTCTACTAGTTCTCACCGGTGTCCAAGTGCCAAGTCTACACTCTTTATCAATCAAGTGGGCTAGACGTTCCATGAAAATAACATATAAATAAGGAGATAATGGATTCCCTTGTCTTATCCCTCTTGACGATATTATATCAACAAAATTGTCCAATACACTACCACGAGTTAAGTTACGGATTCTATGCATTCCATATTGAATGAAGCATTGAAAATTTGAACCAATGAGTTACATGATTTATATTGACTTAATTCTATATAATAACTTAAAGGCAGAAAAATTTGTTAAAAAAAAACTTTTAAATGCATCATTTTGTGAAAAAAAAAACCTTTTAAAAGCTTTATCGTAAAAGAAAACCCGAAATTATTTTTTTTTTAAAAACAACCTTGTAGCACTAATCCAAATAATTAACATCTAATTTCTTCGAATTACTCTATAACTTCTACTTAACTATTTAATAATTAAATTATTTTATAAATTAAAAAATAAAATAGAAAACCACCACCCTGCCATCAGTCAGCCACCCTTTCCCCTCCCCTTGTAGTAGCCCCCACCATCGGCGACCCAACTTCACCGTTGGCCGATTCCTCTCCTTGTCTACTTTCCCCCGTTGCAAACCTCCCTCTCCCTAAACCCTGGCAGCTGCCTCTAATCACCATAATCGTCGCACATAACCCAATTCCATGTCTTCTTCGCCACAATCGCGGCCGCAAAAGAAGTAGAAAATCGTTGGGGTGTTCTTATGCACTTAGTTTCTCTCACCTCGAGGTATATTCTTACCCTTCACTATTCTACAAAAAATTGAGGCTCTTGATAACAGAGAATCAGAGATGGTGGTTTTCATGGCTGAGGTGGTGCATAATTGGAGGATTAGGGTTTAGGGATTTCGGTAGAAAGGGTTGGGAAAGGGGAGAGTGAAGGGATTGTGGAAGTAGTCACCATTGTTGAAGGCATTGAAGATTGAGGAAAGAGAAAAAGAAAGAGATTGAAGAAGAAGAAGAAGAAGAAGAAGAAGAAGAAGAAGAAGAAGAAGAAGAAGAAGAAGGGGGCTGGTGTCCGATTTAGGGAGAGGGGAGGTGGGTCGCTGGGTGTGGGGGTTGCTGCCAAGGGAGGGGGAAGGGGTGGTTGATTGGTGGTGGAGTGGTGGTTTTCTATTTTTTTAAAAAATTTTTATAATTTAATTTAATTATTAAATAATTAATAAAGAGTTATAGAAAGACAAGGGTTTTTCGACCTCCTTCGAAAGACAAGGTTTATTTGCTCTTTTTGGGGGAGAGATTTCTTAGTTTTGAATCCATAATATTAGATCTAATGGATTGTCGTGAAATTATTTCGTTGGTGAAAAAGTTATCAAGTTTTCGAATGCAGACAGATGAATCAGAAGAAAAGCATCCTCACGGCTACAAAAGATCGTTAGATTGTCTCTCCAACAAGGCTGTATTTTCCATCAATATAAGCGGGAGATGTTCCAATGATCGTAGTTTTTATGAAGGAAAATTTTATTTGATTCAATATCTTATGTATTTGTTAATGTCAAATCTATATTGTAGATGTCGTATGACTTTTAATTAATGAACTATTTTTGCTATTAAAAAAAAAAGTAAATTAAGTGAATTAGTGTTACTAGGTCGCTTAAAAAAAAATAACTACGGGTTTTCTTTTATGATAAAGCTTTTAAGAGTTTTTTTTCTCGTAAAATGATGTATTTAAGGTTTTTTTTAAACAAATTTGCCTAACTTAAATGATGTCATTGTTAATAATGTTTGTATGGGTTGACTTGTATTGAAAATCTAAATAAATGTCGTAGTAATTGCGCACTAGGCTATCTTCTTTAGAGCTGCTGTGGTGAAATCTGCTTTGCTCTGTCTTGCCCCCTCCGTGCGTATAACTCAAAAGAACCAGGCTAAGAGTATCATCAACACTGGGAGAGCAGCCTCTCCAAATATACTCTACCTCTCCTCTTTTTTGGGCTTTTCACCATTAAAAAAAAGGAAAAGGCCTCCATTCCTACCTCTCTCTGAGTTATTTCATTGAAGCTCACTCAACGTTCTCCATTGAATAGCTCTCCGATGAATCCTGCATCCCCCATTGAAGCAGCTTCTAAGGTAAGTTGTTTGTTGTTGTTATCGTCATATCAATTTCACAATCTAATTTAATCATCAGTGCTTTAAGTTTAGGGTTCGTAAATTCTTAGATTATCAAACATCATAACCAAAATTATGAGATTATTGAATCAAATATCCCTAAAATTATTGAATTTAAAGTTGAATCTCTTTTCCCTGTGCGTAGGGCAAGCGCAAGGGTAAACACGACAAGGACAAGCCATGGGATGACCCCAGTATTGACCATTGGAAAATTGAAAAATTCGACCCTTCTTGGAACGAATCCGGCTTGCTCGATGTCAGCTCTTTCTCTACTATTTTCCCCCAATATCGAGGTTTGAAATTTATTTTATTTCTCATGCAATTGTATGAATGAGTTACTAAGCTAATTTTTAAATTTAATCTAGGCCTATTTTCATGTTAATTTATACCACAAGTTGAAGTTACTGAGAAAATTTTGATTCAATGCTTTCATCAACTTATGGAGTATGCCCTTTGTAATTTTGTTTCAGCAAATTTGTGTCTGTAAGATACCATGACTGATATGGCTAGTGTGGTGTACCAAGTATGGTAGAAGCCATATCCTAAGTTCCTTACTCCCAAAATGATTTTGGGTCAGCTAACCGGAATTGTCTTAAGGAAATGTCCGCAAAGAAAGTAGGGTATAGCAAGATAATTGATTGAATAAAAGTGGGGAGAAAAGGCTGTGTAAAGTGACAACCAAAAAAGAGTTGCTAGTAACTATCCATGTTTATTGAAGGTTAATCAATATGTTTCTAGTAACTATAAGAGATATTTGTTGCAAAATTATTTTTAAGATTTGCTATCTAATTCATTATAACATAAATAAGTTGGTCTTGTGTTTTCTTACGAAAGATCTAGTAGGGCTTAAACCAGTTGAGTTAGATGAATTCTTAATTTCTTATCTAGTTGGGTGCCTAAATATATATTTCAAAAGGTACACGTGTATATATTGAATGAATGACAAAACAGTTTTTAATCCCACGACTCATTAATCTGCAGTTTTGCAAATTTCAAATAATCTTTTTCAATTACAGAGTAACATTGTTACATACTTCGTAATAATTAGTCGCGATTAGAGTTTGTTATTCATTTGTTGATAGCATTAACAACAACATTAGACATATTAGAAGGGGCAAATTGTAACCAACAAATTACAATTTTTTTTTATAACGATTTTACAAGATTTAAAGTTGACAGACTAAAAGTCTAAAACTCTGGAGGATCACTTCCCATGACCCTAATATAATTGAGCAAGTCTATCCTATTCAAATTACAGCTTTGGTAGATAGAACAACAATGAAAAATTACAGGATAACAATAAATGAGCAAAGAGCAAGAGAAAAAGTACAGAAAGCCTAAGGGTATGCTAATTCTCTTGATCTTTCATGATTTACCTTCATCTCTTCAAAAGCTTTCTGATCCTATTTTCTTCAGGTTCCTCTTCCCCTCAAGAAAGTCCTCCGGTCGTCCAACGCCAGTTAATTATTGAGCTTGATACCCCTATCAATTGATTTGAGCACTTTGATTCACCCTCATCACCACTGGAACTCATCATCACTATCCTTTTTCTTCTTGTGCTGTCAATTATTAGTTTAGAGAAAGCATCGAATCTAGCCTTGGTCTGATAAGCTTGAAGTATCTCAAAATTCTGATAGGAATCAGCCATAAGATTTTTTTTTAACCAATTCCTCTACCATAGTGATTAAATACACGTGACATAATAGCTCATATCAACAATCATTTGCCTAAAATAAACAGCACACACATCTGATATCAATAATCGACCTTGTCTATAAGTAGACAATAACCAAAGCTCATTAGCACAAAGCATATAACAACAGGAACTACTCGCTGTAAGTCTGTAATAGAACAATCTAAAGCAAACCTTGAACTTACCAGCTATGCATCACAAACACAAAACAACCACTTGAATATCAACTAAAGCAGCTCCTTACTCCAAATCAAACTCAACTTGAAAACACCTTTAATTTCAAGAGTAAATTTAATAAGAACACTAAATTAACTACCCAAAACCTCAAAAAAACATGAAGAAATGCAACATACAACTAACTTTACGCAAAAGTCCATCAACAGGATGAATTCCTCACTAAATTAACAATCCATTTGTTCTCTCTCTGCACGTATATTTGTCAAGACTTCCCACTTTTATTAGTTTTATACTCTAATTGGGCTTACTCAATTATATATATGTAATATAATATATTCTACCAAAACAATAAATATAAGGTAAAAGTAAGGCTAAGTCACAGCTCTACAAACAATACAACTCAAGTAAGCGAAAGTACAAGTACAGCCTTTTTGTAACTTTTTTTTTTTAATTACAGTATGTATATCAAACAATAGAATAGATATGAAATAATCTATATACACCAACTTTACCTGATAACCCATACCCTACTCTATACAGTCTATTCAAAAGTAACGTACAGTCTAAGAATTGCTGATATTTTGAGCCAAAAATGAAGAGTGATGCCTACACCAAGTTACTAATCATATTTATTCAATTTAATTGGAATTGGAATTGGAATTATACGTTACCTAATTTTAGATCCAAAAAACCAATGAAACCTTAATAACAGCCTCACAAATTGTCAATTCAATCAAGCAACATAACTATTTGACAAATTCCCCAATAAAGATAATTTGAATTACCTTCACAAACAATTTTTAAAGTTGCTAAGCCAATTTCACATCAAACCGAACTTTTGTAAAAGGTGTTAAACCAATTTCAGATCAAATAAACTAACAAATTCCAATTCAAATTAACTAAGTTACAATAGCACCACACAAATTTAAGATCGAAAAAAGTTACTACTATCACATCAAACTACCAAACTAAATTACGATAGCAACACACAGTTACTTACATAACACCGCACAGGCGCACACACTTAATTAGCTATTTTTGTAATTGCTAAACCAAGTTCAAAACAAATTAACTAACTAATCTACAATAAGAACACACAAAGACTTCCATAAACACACCCGGCTTCTTCTTGATTCCAACAGCTTATACACAAGCCACTAAGCTCAACCCCCAAAAAAATGTCAATTTATAAAGCTTACTTTAATTGGGCCAGATTTTTTTTTTTTTTTGAAGAAGTTAATTGGGCCAGTTCAAACTAGGAAAATTAATAATACATATTCCACAATTAAAATTGCAACATAACACTACAAAATCACAATAATTAAATTAATCCAAAACAAGAATAACATCTCAACCAAAATTAAAATTGGGTGAATTAAATCTGATGAGATCCAATTGCTATTTCAGATCCATCATAGATGATGAATCGAGTGCTTGTTGTTCCTTGATCAATTGATCTGATGAATACTTCAAATGATTTTGACATTGTTTAATGATCTCTCTCCTTCCCTGTTTCGATTGATTCAATGGGAAGAAGATGAAGATGAATTGAAAAGAGGGGGAGCGTTGAACTGTTGAGATTAAATTACGAGAATTGAGCGTGAAATTTGAGGAAGGAAAACAGAGAAATGAAAAGAAAAAAAATCAATTTTTTAGACTTGTAGAAAATAATTTAAATCAAATTGAGATGTTAAAAATTCTATAGAATAAATCATACATACAAAAAACTGAGATATTAAAAACCAGAAATGACAAAGTCTCATGTCCGAAAACAAAGATGAACACCAGATTGATTAAATTGTAAGCAAAAATAATCAATGAAAAGGCCAAAAAGAAAGATTAACTCTTGGTTGCTCTTGAAGAACAGCTTGTGCAGCCAGCTTTATTAGCTCCCAAAATATGGAGAAGGAGATAAGAGTGCAGTGTGGAAAAGATGAGAGAAGAAGAGTGAGGGGAGAGAGATTGAATGAGATTCTTCAAAAGCAAAATTAAAGGTTTAGAAGAAAACCGGGAGGGGCAAAATAAACCATCATTTCACTAAAGGCAGGGGCAATAGCATCATTGCACTATTCATTTGAATAGTAGCTTATAAATACTGTTTAATTGAACAGTGCTGGAACTATAAACTTTTATATAAGGGTTATAGATTAGTATGAACTATAAACAACCAATTATTTCGAGATGACTTTAATTTTTGGTGCATTAATCTTTCTGGCTGGCTGGTGTCATCTTTCTTTCTTCCCTCCCTCCCCCCTCTGTATTACTTATAGTGTTTAGTTATTCAATGCTGAATTTTCTTTTCTATATCTTTCAGAAAAATACCTGCAAGATGTTTGGCCAACAGTAAAGGCTGCATTGCGTGAGCATGGTATTTCATGTGAGCTTAATTTGGTAGGTTTTTGCTGTTTGACCTTCAAAATTGGACAAGCTTACATTTGATTTTTTGACAAACTATAAAATTGAGTATTGACTATATATCAGTGGTTGTTGACTATTGATAATACTTTTTTAAGGTGGATTTATGTATGTGGTTGTTGACTGTTGATAATAGTTTATAAGGTGGATTTATAATTAGTCCTCCCCCACCCCACACACACACACACAAAAAAAAAAAAAAAAAAAAAAAGATGGTTGTGATTGTCAGATGTCATGCTTGTGATGGTAACAGAATTGTCACGGTTGGCTAACCAATGCTGCGTGAAGGAATGCCACTATTAAGATTAAGGATGTCATTGACAATGTTTACCATTGAATTGTTGAGAATCAATCTATTGTTGATTACCTGAATTATCTCCTCATAGTCTCAGTGGTATATTAGTTTGCACCAACCCTTTTTGGATAAGCTCTTTGATAAGATTGAGGATTGCCTAGTGATAACGCTTTAAGTTATGCTGCTGAAATTCCCCGGTTGTGGAGCTATCATCTGGTTGGGTGATTTGAGTCTAAGAAACCACCCATCTCCACTTTGGGAATTAAAGTAGTGTTGGCTTATTTGGCATTCACCTTGGTGGTGTACTGAAGAGAAGAGGGGTTTTGTAGAGGCTTACCTTTTGCTTCTAGTGCTGTTTTACTTGGGGTCTTGTGAATACATGTTTGTTATTATATTCAAGTTCATACTAATGAAAGGTTTACCTCAGCTAAATCTCCACTTATCCTCATTTACGTTATTGAATACAGAAGTTATGGTTCCTGTAATCCATTCAGGCAGTGTAATGGAAGTTTTCACTTGGGTATATAGACCAAGGTAGATTTTGGAAAAGTGTAAGCCCTAACACATGATGGGATCAAGTCTAATGCCTCTGTTTTTTAGGATTCTCATTGATTGCTATAGCATCACTTATGAAGAGATTCTGCTTGTGAAGAAATGAAGAATATCCAATACTTCCTCCGTTCTATTAATATTGCAACAATGGACTTTTTGCACTATTCATCACTCTTATTTGACCATATAATATGATTTATACGTTAAGCAAAATATCGGCATGTGGGATCTTGTTGGATTCGTCTCATAAAATATTTTCACAATATCAACTTTTTATAATTTTTACTCTTACACAATTATAGATATTTAGCATATAAAATGTGCTTTGGGATGTGTAATTTCCTCTTTGTTGCAATATTAATAGAACGGAGGAAGTAATTTATATTTTGGAGCTTTCTTAGATTGTGAAATTACTAGAGAGTTGACTAAGAGCGTAGATAATGGTCTCATTAAGTGGCATAGCTTGACTTGGATGATTGTATAACTCTATCTATCTGCACTCTCTTCTTGCAGATTTTTCTAGGATCGATGTCTATTGTTAAAGTAATATTTCAAGAGTATGTTCTAGGGGATAGAGGGGAATTAATGTGATAAGGTTGGGGGAATGAATGCAGAGGATTTTTTAACCCACAAAAGATATATGAAAAACAGTTGGGCCATCCATATAAGTGGGAAGGAACATTTAGTGACAAAGGGAGTAACTGTTTATCTATCTCTTTCTTTTTGTTCAGGTTGAAGGTACCATGACTGTTTCAACAACTAGAAAGACAAGAGATCCATACATTATAGTGAAATCAAGGGACCTTATTAAACTTTTGTCAAGAAGTGTTCCGGCACCTCAGGTATGTCTTTAACTCTGTTTGTACTTACTCCTTATTTTGCTAGTATCATCTCCCCACAATTAAGATTCTGTTTAAATGCTTATGCAACACTTGTCTGTATCAAGCCATCCTCATTTGTATGGAATCCTCCATTCCTGTTTTTAATTGTAGTTTGTGATGCACTTTGATATGGTTTTCTTATGTGTTGATTTCACAGGCAATCAAGATACTCGATGACGAAATGCAATGTGACATTATCAAGATTGGTAATCTTGTGAGAAATAAGGTGTGGTTCATTCTGCTGAAAATTGTTTTTATTATTTTTGCAATATTTGTCATTGGTGGAGTGTTTTTTCTACAAATTGTCAATTTATGTTCCTTACTTTTGATGCATGTATAATTTAGTTGCTTTTCTATCATTCATAATCATTTGACAAACAACATTGAAGATATAGCTATGATTTGTCCCTTAAATGTTATACGTAGTACTTGTTTCTTTTCAGTTGGTTTAGGAATTTCATAGCCTAAGCAAAAAGTTTAAGAGTAGAAAATTCCTGGTAGAAAGCTATGCTCGAAAACTCAAATCTTATAAGACTAACCTTAGGTTGACATTGTATATGGTGCCACTTTCCTTAGAAAGTAGTAGTCAAACATCCTGTAATGCTCTAGAGAATTTAAGGCAAATGGTCAAATTCAACTGATATAAGCATAAAGCTTGGTATTAATTACAAAGATGGGAACTGTTGAGAGGTTCTCTTTTGATCTTCTCTCCCAATATGTTTTTCAAATTTCTTCACACCTCTTTTATATTACAATTGTTCATAAGTAATACCAACCTCTTTGTCTTCCTCTACCCGTTTCCCAGATTGTGCTCCACCTAGTGTTTCCTTCTTTTGTCTCATTTTCTGCTGGCCACTGCCTAGAGTACTTATGAGCACAGGTAGCCTGATTTAGTTTATCACATTGTCGTACCCTCAAGTCTAAATCCTGTATTGGACACATTTGTGTCCCTATGAAGTCAGAATTTCCCATGTCCAACTCTTGGATCTCATAACTGAGCCAAACAACTGATAGGCTAAATATCATAGCAGGCTTCTACCTCTAAGTAATGTTACTTTAAAATTTTGGAAGAATTTAGGATATGCAGATTATACCATGAGTATCTTTTTTAAGCTTTCCGATTCTTGATCTTATGGGTGCAATCACTTAATTCAACTGTTAGTGAGAACGGAAACTTTTCCAGGAAACCGAAGAAGACTCAGTATGTTAGACAAAATTTTAAATTCTTAGGCAAATCAAGTCTCTCATTTAGGACTAGTTTCAGCAATTTTACTAGAACTTGCTGAATTGGAGAAAGGAAGGACAGTTTGAGTTGTGGTGTTTCAACTGTTTCCTTAAATGTTGAAAGTCCTAAAACACATTAGTATCCATCAAAAGCCATGCTCCATTTTGTCCTTTTTTTGCTCTCTCCTTGTACCTTGTTCAAGGTTGCGAGGCTCAGCCTTTTTTTTTATCCGAACTGGTTGATCTTGATATCCTTCCCTTATTTTGGTTTAAGGTTTTTCAAATACATACTCAGGCACTGTCTGCCGGGGAACAGTTATTAACAGCTTATAATGTCTTGGCCAAGTCAAAACTATACTTAAGGTGAATTTGGTGAAGTTTTTTTTTTTGATGTAGCTCTTAGAGATTGAGTATTGATTTGTAAAGACTAAATGTGATTTATTTCTGTCTGTAACTACCTTCAAGATTGAGGCTGGAGGGTATATTCTGCTCACTTTTCTAGGAACTTATTCGTTGTTTTTATTAGAATCAGTCCAAAAAAATATTAAACCAGAAAATATATGGCCAACTCTTAATTTTGTTTTCTTATTGCCGAATTTCTAGAACTTCATATTATTATGAAAATTAGATATTTAGAACATACACAATTACATAGATTTTGTTCCTTACATGACAGTCAAACCAAGAGATAAAATCAGACCGGACCACAAATTTACCGACCAGGACACCGGACCTTAAAAAATAAAGACCATAAAATGTTATTTCAGTTGAAAAGAAAATAGCCTTAGTTACTAGTTTTAACTTGAATTCTTGAAAGCCATTCTAAATCAGCTTAATTCCCTACCTCCATATTAACAAAAGGAACACTTAATAAAGATGAGCTCCTGCTTGCAAAAGAACCCCATCTAATAAGAGCAACTTTAGTGATGTGTCATGCGCACAAATTAACCATCCCTGAAGCAAAATGATAGCAGTACTTTCTGCCAGGATTGTTTGGCTACAGTTGTAGAGCACCTGGTTCCGAAAATCATTAATAAGTTCTTTTAGTACACTTTTTAAAAAAAAAAATATGTGTGGATAGAGTTACGTCTTCACCCGGACATTGTTTGTGTGACGAATAACATGTAAAAGAAAGAGGAAGAGAATAGATGATGGGATGGGGGTGAAGAAAGGATTATATTGTACATACACTAATACATAATAACATTTCTCCTTTGAGCAAGAAAAACAAAAATGTTCAAATAGGAAATAATCTCTCCCTACGGTCATCTCATGAATTGTTCCTTCTTGAAGTCTTTATTTGCATGTGCTTAAGCTCAGGTTATATTGCTAGTAACTCACAACCATTCCATGTCCTTATGTGCATATTTCGTTTCATGTCTGATTCTCTGTCCAAAAGTGATAGTCTGTGGCTTTATGTGTATGACGGATACATTTCTTTGGAAGGATCTTGATTGGTTTGTTTTGCTAATTGTAGGCACGCTTTGTCAAAAGGAGACAACATCTTCTAGGTCCCAATAATTCTACCTTGAAGGTTTGTAATATTAATCTTATTATGGAGTTCTGCTTTTGAGAAAGTGAGAGAAGTGAACTGTGTGGATCTTGTAGGAAGTTTTGTGCTATGCTTGACTGATGGCCAAAAGAATAGCTCAAACTTTATTCCATTCCCCCTCCCCCCCCCCCAAACACACACACACTTTTCTTTTTTTTTTTTTAAATAAAAAGGAACCCTCCCCTGAGGTTGACAAAGCTTTGTAGGGATTTTGGATGTGAAGTTGGTAGGTGGATCGTTGGGAACATGCACTTAGTTCCTTGGCTTATAATTTTGTACTGTATGCAGGCACTTGAAATCTTAACAGGCTGCTACATCCTTGTTCAGGTATGCATCAAGATCTTGTTAATTTTGGAGATCCTTTCTTTTCGGAACATTTTTTTTTGTTGTACCAGTCCTCTTTTAAGTAATACTGACTTTGGTGTGGCTGTATATCCAAAAGTAAAAGTGTTAATTTACCATCAAAAATAATTTTCTATTGTTTTCCCAGAGATTCCATCACTGAAACATTCATGCAGCCCTTGCCCCAAATTCTTTGTTTTTAGGAGGGTGAGGCTGCGTTCACCTGAGTTCAGATACCCCCAAAATATGATTATATTTTAATGCAAAGTTGGGATTATTAGGACTGGCCTTTTTTTTTTTTTTTTTTTTTTTTTTTTTTTTTTTTTTTTTTTTTTTGTTTAAGACCATTTTTATAAATTGTCGATCCCTTTTTGCTCTTCTTGCCATTTATGCAGGGAAACACAGTTGCAGCCATGGGATCTTTTAAAGGATTGAAACAAGTGCGGAGAATTGTAGAAGACTGCATACAGAATAAAATGCATCCAATATATCACATCAAGGTACACAATACTCATCTGCTTCTCTTTTTTCTGGGTGTTGTAGGCTTACAGCAGCTCTGCCTCGAACAGGATCTGGGTTTTGAAAAAAAAAAAAGGGGGGGGGGGAGGAGGTTTTTTGTTGTTGGTATTTCTCTGTTTGTCAACGACAGAGGTAATATTACTCGCTGGCTGCTGAAAAACTGAAGCCAACATTATTGAATGAAGGCATTTGCTCTTGGAATTTGGTAATATACACTTGTCATTGAAGTTATATACTCAATTACTCTGCTGTCCAAATTTCATTGACAGATTCTCATGATGAAGAGGGAACTTGCCAAGGATCCCGCCCTTGCAACTGAGAACTGGGAAAGGTTTCTGCCACAGTTCAAGAAGTATGATTATTTGGATTGAAATTTATGTTTATATTTTAACAAGCATTATATATGTGTCATCTAATTTTTTTTTCTTCTTGAACTTCAGGAAGAATGTTCAGAAAAAGAAAGGCAAGGGTAAGGAGAAGAAACCTTATACGCCATTCCCCCCTCCACAGCAGCCTAGTAAGGTGAGAACTACACTCCTTGTAAATCTTATCTATCTGGTGTGGGAGTTTCTAGCTTGTAAATAATGTGGTAAACTTATATGGTTGGATGGCTGATTTAAGAAACACATTTCTGGTTGATGTTGAAATTGTTATGTTTGGACACCTTTTTTGTTCTTGTGAGCAATATTAACAAGTATACCCTGTAGATTGACCAACAACTGGAAACTGGAGAGTACTTCTGGAGTGAGGAAAAGAAGTCAACAAAGATGCGGCAAGAGAAGGAGGAGAAGCAGGCCGAGAAGACAGCTGAAAACAAACGAAAAAGAGAAGCTGCATTTATTCCACCTGAGGTTTGAGATGTTCAACTTTTCAGTGGTAAATCAGTAAAGTTATTTGCTAGAAATTTGACACCATGTGCTATTACATTACAGGAACTTGTGATGCAAGGGCATAATAGTGCAACAGATAGTAAAGGTGATGTCAGTTCCATGGCACTATCATTGAAGGTAATTGAGCAGATCGATTTCATCCTTTTTAAACATTGCTTTGCTATACTTGGCTGGTTTGTTAAAATTGGGGTTGCATAATTCTGCAGCAAAAATCAAAAGAATTTAAAAAGCAGAAATCATCTGCCAACCATGTGGATCCTCAAGCATATATCGCTGAAGCACCTGCAAAGAAGATCAAAAGCTTCAAATCTTGACCCCTCAAGCATATATCGCTGAAGCATGGGCAAAGATGATCAAAAGCTCCAAATCTCAACCCCTCAAGCATATATTGCTGAAGCACCGGCAAAGAAGAAGATCAAAAGCTCCAAATCTTGACTGAAGAATCTTGGACTTGCCAACTTGCTGTATCATCATAATTTTCAACAATCCATATTTGCCAATTTTGATGTTAGTGAAACTGATTCCATTAGGTTGATATGGATTTCTATTACCATGAAGTTCAACATAATTTTCTTGTAAGCTAATGTGTCTCAAAGCTTTGGGTTCAATTTTGGTTGATTTTTTGGTCCTAAGAGTATCATTTGTGAGACTTACAAAAATAACGTATAAAATTCCTTTGTTGTAAATAATAAGAAATAGAGCCAATATTATTAAAAGTTGGATGCATGAGTAATGTCGTAATAGTGGGTAACTTACAACCATTACAACTTTACAAGTCACCTCATTTATGTATCTCTATTTGAAATCATTTTCCACCTCACTTTCCACTATCTTGGTATGATAAGAAATATGTTCCATCTATTATAACTTCTTGGTATTAAATGGTTAAGGGAAATTTGCAAATTGCAGCAATTTAAAGTTCGTATTTTGCAAATTGCAGTCCAAAAGTTCGTATAAATTGTAAATTGCAGCCCGATTCAATTTTTTCATCGGTTTACATGTTGAAAAATCTTCGGCTAAGGTCTTAGGGAACCATATTGAGCTCGGAATTAGCAAAAAAATAACGTAAGTATCTCGTTTTGCGTAACAAAAATATATCGATTTGTGGGAAACTGTAAATATGAGACACTTACGTTATTTTTTTCGCTAATTTCGAGCTCAATTCGGGTCTCTAAGGACTAAAATGACCCCTAAAACCTTAACCGTAGATTTTTCAACATGTTAACCGATGAAAAAATTGAATCGGGCTGCAATTTACAATTTATACGAACTTTTGGGCTGCATTTTGCAAAAAAAAAAATTAAATGGCTGCAATTTGCAAAATACGAACTTTAAATGGCTGCAATTTGCAAATTTTTCAATGGTTAAATTACCAAATATTTTGGATTGAAAGAGTAAAACTGTTAGTGCCTTGAAATTTGGGGGCAAATAATATTGACGATATCAATATTAGTCAGGAAGTTTCTAATTATTCATACTTATTAAAACTATTTATTGCTTACTTTTGAAGTAGATAGTTTACAAGGTTAATTTAATACATGTTCGGCTAATATCCTTCACAACAAATGAGCTGAAATTAAAATGAGCAAAAACACTACAATAAAAATGCATAAAAGAAAATGAACAAACTTATATTAGAATCTCAAAAAATTGCTCCATATTATTATCACATAATACAAACTCATTAAACTCATTTTTTTATCGCCGAAATCTTTCAATTTCACCGGAACGCACGACGACCATAATCGTTGTTAAGTGGAGCTCGAAAATGACATAATTGATCTGAATTTTAAGCTTGATTTCTTTGTTATTGATGTTGCAAAATTAATAAAAATGATGTTAATAGAGATGTTGTTGACGGCGAAAATAATCGTCACCGATTGGAGCTCGAAGACGCAATTTATTACAGCTTAAATTTCTTGTAATTAATGGCGCGAAGATGATGTGATATGAGCACAATACAAAGACGGCATGGTTGATTAGAAATTAATGGCGTGAAGTTAATGATGTATATTGAACAATAGGTCTTATTATCTACTTCTAGAATTGATTATTGCATTTTACAGCAATTAACAATCTAACGCAACCTAGCTACAGTAACAAGATAAGAAAGGATCATTAATTATCTTGAACAACCAGGCAAGGTGCATCAACTTCATTCCAAATATCTCGTTCTACCAACTCAAGCCAGTAATCAAGCAAATATACAAAATTAATATTCTGTGGGCCAATTATTTCCTAATACAAGTAAACAACATGTAAAATCACATGCAAGCCAATCCATAATTATCCTTCATTTGCATCTATTGAAAGCCAAGCTATTGATTAGTAGCGATACCTAATTCACAGGAAAAGTTTGATGTAGGGCTGTGCAGAGTGCAGTCTAGACCGCACCAAACCACAATTTGCGGTTTGGAAATTACGGTGCAGATTTCAAATTTGACCAAACCGCGATTTTGCGGTTTGGTGGGGTTTCAAAATACTTTCAAACCAAACCGCACCGCAAACCGCAATTTAAAAATAAATATACTTCGTACTAAAATTTAAAAATAAACTCAAAAAAAAAAAAAACTAATATAAAAATAAAAGATCCTAAAATTTTGTAGGGTTACTGATTTTATTTTGCAATACCATAGTAGTCGACATCTTCATCTCTAATTCTCATCTATCCCTCCTCTCCCTCATTTTTCTTCCTCTCTCACTCTTTATATCAATTTCACAATTTCTACATCTCTTTCTCAAACAATCGACCACCAATGTATCTTGTAGATATTACTAATGTATGGCTAATATAGTAGTAATGTATCTCTAACGTACTTCTAATGTATCTCTGTTATTCTAGCAATAAAATGTATTTGTGATACAAATTTGAAAAGAAATTTGTGAAGTTACTATGTCTGCTAGCAAACTGAAGTTGACATCGTGTCAAAGGGTAAAAGAAAACCATGCCTATACAATTTTGTTATACTTCTCATGCAAAGGGTAAAAGAAAGTATGCACATTCATTTTTCACCTATTTTTCCATTGTTTTTCTAGTCTGTTTCGACACGCCTAACTATATCTCCTCCTAAAGCTTGTTTAATGTTCTAACTTTAGATTATTAATCTTAGATGAGAAAGTACTTGCGGTCATGAACGACTTGTGAGTAACAAACCCGATATTAGGAATCTCTAGACTTTAATACTCAGAAGGGTTATGTATTGGATTGCATTTCTGAAATTATAGCATCAAATATTTCATGCATCCCATTCATAATATATAAGGATGCCTTACCCTGGAAATGATCCATCTTATAACTTAACAGCAATGGATTATAAAATCATCAATCAATTGCTCGAAGTTTAAAATTTAAAAACACATACTTAATTAGCTCATCTGGAGAAGTATCAACAATATGCACATTTAATTCAAAAATTATGTAGCTTTAGGGCCTGTTCTCTTCTCTTCAGTTCAGATCAGCTCCAATAAGTTTAGTTTAGTTCTCATAAAAAATTTAGTTTAGTTCACCTCAGCTCTAATAAGTTCAATTCAGCAAATCAAAACAGACCCTTAATATAGATGATTTGCACATTTGACTCAACAACTATGCACATTCAGTACATTATGCATAAATAATATTTGACCTGCTACTTTTTCTCATGCAAAAATGAAACTTTGTACACATTATGCATAAATAATATGCACATTGAAAATCAGTGAAAGAAATTTTGCACATTCAGTTTAAAAAATATGCATATTCAGTACAAGAAGTATGCACATAAAATCTTTCTTATTTTTCTCAATTTAAGGAACTTCTCATTTGACCCTAAATATATTTAAGCAACATCCAACAACACTAGATTGAAATGCAAGTAGTATTAGAACTGCTTGTCATGATCCATTTACTTCCCAACAAGTCAAAATAAATGCTAGTTGTGACCAATAATTTCTTAGTTTTAAGTTCGAATAGATTAGGGCTAGTCAACCTCGCTCAAAAGGTTAAGCTAGGAATGAAAAACAGTAAAAGTAATTGAAAGGAGCAGACTTATTTCAAATGTTATGAAGAAGATGATGCATTTCACCGGTTACTGAATGTTTAAAGATATGATCTAAAAGTAGCACATTATGTGCCTTATGTTGCGGGACGAGTACATATCACCCGTACGATGTCTGATTTCTCGAGGCTGATCCAAATAACTGATGTCTGATTTCTCGAGGCTGATCCAAATAACTGTCCCTATATGTGTAACAAACATTATAAACGCAATTAAACTACGATAATAATATGGAATAACATTAACTTGTACCAAGACAAATGCATCAATGTAGACTCATATGCATATAGACATCCTCATATAGTCATATGAGACTTATTGTGCTATATCATTCATGTGACATTTAGCATAATCACACCGAAGTGACCAAACTGGTGGTTGCATATATGAAGGTTAAAAAAGAAATATTAATTACATTGATCCATAATTTTATTTATTTATTTATTTATCATAAATTTTCAAACTTATATAATTCCAGGAAATATATTCTATAGACTATTGTACAACACCCATTTCTTTCTTTCCCCCCCCCCTTTTTTCTTATCAAAACCGCCATTAATGTTAAAAATTCCACTTTTTTTTCTTTTTTTTTTCATATCAGAATTGCTAATCTATACCGAGTGTAAAATAGCACAAACCACAAGTATCTTATATCCCGACCCCCTTTCATTTTTTTTTCAAATAAGAAAATAAAAGTAACCTTATTTTAGTTAATTATACGCATGTTTACTTTATATCATATCCCTTGATTTACTACAATTTATGGGTGCATTTGAAAGCACATTTTATTTTCCAATTTTATGAATAATATATTAATAGTTCATGTGTCGCAAGGGCCAAAATATTAGTTGTATTATTTCATATTAATTTATTTATACTTTTGCTATGTTAGGCCTTGTTCACCTTTCAAAAAAATATTTAGTAAAAATAATTCATTTTAGTATAAATAGTTTTTAATCAGTAAAACTTAGTAACTCAAAGAACAAATTTAATAGAGATGATAAGTAAAAAAAATAAGCTTTAATTAATAAAAATAATTTCAATTTTCCTAAAAAAAAATAAAATTCAATTAAGCAAATATTCAGCTTAACAAAACATAAGATGAAAAGAACCGGAGCTTATTTCACAATGCCCTATTATAATATCACTCTTGTTTGTGTTTGCTTGATAAATTTCAACCAGGGGAGCTTATGAGATGAGACAACTCGTATACTACTCGAACTCGACTCGGTTAAAAATCAATTCGAGTGAGTTCGAATCAAGCTCGAGATTGACTTGAAATATTAATGAGTCGAGTCGAGCCTAGTAGTTCATTACTTGACTCGAAAACTCGTGGAAACTCAAATTTCTTGATACAGTATTATATTTAATAAAAAATAATACTTGTAATAATAATTTGATTTAAGAAATTTTCATTTAGAGTAATACTACGTATTTAATTAATATACAATATTTATGTACTCATATCATCATATACTTCCTCCGTTTTTTTATTATTGCACCATAGGGGTTGGGTACAAATATTATGGTAGTGGAAAAAAGTAAGAGAGAGAGTGTGAAAAAACAAGGGTATATTGGGTATTTGTAGTGTGAATACAAATTATTTTTTTCCTAAAGAGGAAATGGTGCAATATTTGTAAAACTTCCTAAAAAGTCAAGTGGTGCAATAATAAAAGAACGGA